TTATTACATAATTTTGGCTACTTTTTCATTAAAAACAATATTTTACAAACCACCATTTTTTTTGAATCACACTGTAAAGGAAGAAAATTATTTTAAGTACAAAAAATTAAACACATATATACCATTGAAGTTTTATTCACATTATTATTATTTATACCAAAGACAAAATGAATAAAACTAACTCAAAAACATTGACAAGCTTTATTTTCATTGTTGAGTTCACAAGTCTAATTCAATCAATTAATATTGAACATTTATAAAAAAGACAACATCCAAGTAATTATATATTTGATTTCTAATCGATTTGTTTAAGATTCAGCCAGCACATAGGTTGCAGAAAAACCAAATGTTTATGTTTATTTTATAGCAAAACTAGAAGCAACAAAAGACACTTGAAATTATTATTCCCTTCATCTTTTGTTTGATTTATTTATTTTATAGCAAAGCCAGAAGCACCAAAAGCACTTGTAATTATTATTTATTTATTTATTTCTTGAATCAAATAATGATATTTGATTTAATTATTACAAAGTTGTGTGTTTGAAAGTCCCCATTTTAACTAGTGAATCCAAGATGCTCAAATACTTCTTATTGCAGTGTTGTGCATTGGGGGCTTCCAATGACACTTCATTGGAACATTTTGGAAGTTTTTGAAGTCCAATATTTTATATGCATTGGAAACTTCCACTCACCATTGGAATTGGACTTTAGAACATTCCACTCATCTATTTTCTTGCCAAGGCAATAATAATACAGCCAGAACTCGTTAAACCTATGTACTTGTTTTGGGCTCAAAACATCGTTTTATCAAATATTCGTTTTATCAAGTAATCTTTGATAAGACGAAGTTAATATATTTTAAAAAAAAAATTTGGTTTAAAAAATTATACATCAAAGTTTACATATTCATCTACACTACGTTGATGCGCTAGTGAACTTTTATATAATAAAATGCTACTTCTAACAGAACGAATACTAGAAATTTGCTTTGTTGAAATTTCAAAT